CTGAAGCAATTGTTTGATATGAGAACTATAAAAGCATACCAACAAGAGTTCGTATTCTCACAACTTCTTCTTTCTTCCGTTTCTGTCTCATTGCTTTATTCTGTTTTTCTATCCATCTTCTTTCATCTCGACTGAAAGYAAAACAAATCTCTCAAACTACCTCTCAATAATCACCTAAAAACAAGAAAACTTACTTCTCTCCTTTTTCTTTTTCTTCTTCATCTAAATATGAGAATTCCCTCCAAGAATCAAAGTCATACCTGCAAGTGAACAGCAATAACCAAATTAAAAGATAACAGCCAGTTACCAAATCTTATCTTGCAAATAACAAAAGGCTCCTATACCAGAATGTGTAAAATTTGTCAACTTCTTCAAATGTTGAGTTTTCATGTCCAAGCAGAGGAACTGGTTCATTATTTGACCACCTGGAAATAAGACAAAATAATAAAAAAAGTTGCAAAATGCGCTCATCAATAATTGAACATAAAGTTCGTATTTCTTAATCTCTCTCATATCAAACCTTTTAAATATCTCCACTTTCATCTTACCGTGCATTCATTTCTATCACTGGACCATATACTTCAAAGAAATTAGCTTTGTTGTTATTATTTATCGCTGGGACATCATCATCAAAGAGCGGATCTACGCTGTCATAGGCTCGTCGACGACTTCTATTACTCAGGACATCATTAGCTTTGGTAATACACTGGAAATAATCCTCGTTAGATACCAATTTACTGGATGGCTGATTTTTATTCTTCTTTTTGTCTGGATGATGTTTGAGAACTTTCTTTTTGTCTGAAGAGGATAACCATTCCTTTATTAACAGCGTAATTAATAAGGGTTTGATACTAAACAGCAATGAATATTAGACTWTGTTTTCTAAAATATTATRATATTATTATTATTCTTTAATGTTCCCTATATTATTGCTGTTCACTCACAAGCTTTTTTGATTTGGTTTTCTGTAGCTTTATATCTAAGCTTTGTCAAACCAAGCACACGATAATGGTCTTGTTTCTGTTGAAAATACAGTAATAATCTATAATAATTATTTTTATTAATAATAATAGAAATATATGCTTTTACCTTCCATTCTTTAGGATCTAAAGTCAAAATAAAGCTTTCATCGTCATCATCTGATGCGATACTTTCATCAGAGCTACTTGATTCKTCACTTTCAGAAGCCACTGAATGATGAGATAGTGAACTATGATGACGGCGTGCGATGTACGCTTCATACCATCTGCCAGTTGGCTCTATACTRTTGATAACTGGGGCTGTTWACAAATGTTATGGATTAAATGGTGTCCTTACTGGTTTGTGGCTGTCCATGGGTGACTTTGTCAATCAGGGAAAAGARAGTCAATGATGTTGATCACTAATGGCATATTAGCATGAATAATTGAATATATCACGTGACACATGGCTAGAACAACATGTGACCTTAAAAACAACTGTAGCTAGCAAATGTTAGACGATTCTTTTATCTTATSGAGACTGCACCAAAATGCCCTTAACTCCTTAAAAGTATTTTTTCCTCAAACGTACAAGACATGACATATCGACAGTGACAATATCATGTCGAAGACTTRAGTGCATAATTTAAAACAATGGACACCTGAAATTCTTGCAAATACAGTTGAACTTTCATRCTCTAAGGCTGGTGGTAATTCCAGCATTATCTTGACTTTTCACCACACAAAGAATTTCTTGATTAAGCACTATTAAAGAAATATACCAGGTAAAAACACACGTTCGAATTATAASTTCTGAGCCTGCATGGCAGTCAGCGGTACGGCGTGAAGAGCACGCGGATTGGAGCATYCCGAATGGCGCGCAATTTTTGAGTGAGTGAAATTGTACAAATATTCTGCAAAATATGCCAAAATTTCTTGAAAATCCTGGCGTTCTTACTAAAGATCGGCTTAAGTCTGAGCTAAAATCTCAAGGTATAACTCTTCCAAAGGCAGATCAGAGGAAGCAAGTATATGTTGACTTATATCTGGAACATTTAACGTCGCAAAATGACGAGGACGTAAAGATGTTTTCTTCAGACGAGGAAGATGATGGAGAAAGCAATGAGATAAGAGTAAGTTCAACCGATTTTAATGAGATCTTGTTATGAAAGCAAGTGTTTAATTAATAACGCTGTGTGGTCTATCCTGGATATATCTTTCCAAAATGGATTTGTTTTGGCGTTTTTTGCTGGCGTTGTTTTTAAACTTCTGACGAGTTTTGGGCTGTGATTCGCTGCTCGCAAACACCCAGCAGGTATCTAACGTGGGAGAAGGGTTTCACACAAAACCAAGGTTGGGTTTAGGTTCTCAGTAATGGCACAGTGATACTCAAACGACAAGAAAAAGAATTTTTCACAGTTACTGTATGTACTGCTTTTCCTGTTATGACCGGAAGTGGTAGAAAGTTGTTGATTTGAAAGTTGAATGCTAGCAATAATCAACCTTGTCATCCAAATTGGACTTCAAATTGCAAATTGGTGGTTCATTATGCCTCCCGTAGACAAGGTTTGTAGTGAAATGAATCCACTCAGTAATGAAGTTCTCCCTCATCGCGCATCAAAGTAAATGACCAAAGTAAATGACCATGCAGTCTGTTGACAYTTTTCATTAACATCTCTTTGAAACTACGTACGTTTTACCGTTTTCAGATACTTTGAATCAATATCATTTATATTAGGGAAATCAACACTTGATACATCATTAATCCTTAATTCTCTGAAATCTACAAGAACCTATAAAATCAATTTGATGCGATCGACGCAAACATTTCTTGGAACTTGAATTCAGACTAGAATATCAAGAAAAACATTTTAAGAAAAGCGTTTTGAATTATGTACTTTAATATTACCAAAACAATTGTAGTTTTGATTTATTCAGATCTCTTRAGCATTTACATGTAAATGTTATCATTTGAAATATCAAGATATGGAATGATCATTGTTTTAATTAAAGTATGGTAATTTTTATCTTGACATCTAATCAGTCCATGCGTGTCAATGATATAAATATTATGGTTAATAAGAATTGATTCATTTGAAAAGTATTTTAGGTTAGACACTAACTTGCTTGTCACACGAATTCATGATTTATTATTTTCAACTTTTTAATCAATTTTTAATAGTTCCATAATTTTATACATATTAATTTATACCAATGGAATATTTGGTAAATTATCCAAGGTAAACTTTGATGAAATATTTCAATCATAATCTCATATACTTTTTAGCCAGTCATTGGCTATAATATCTAATGTTATGACGAATGAAATTTTTTCATCACAAAACATGATGCTTATTACCATATTGCCCACAGGGAGCCCAACAGGTTTTCATCAATTTTTTGACGGGTGCCCCTCAGTCAGTAGTATTGTTGGTAAATATTTAATACCAACAAATTCTTAGTATAATCTATAAAAATATGTTTAAAGAGCAGTTGTTATTTATTAATTAGATTGGTTTTAAAATCTTGTGCCGTAATCACCAGGGAAACACAGTRGTGAATTCATATTTCATTGCTTTGATATTTGTTCACTTGACTGTTGCATGGGAAGTGGTAGTATTCACTTCATGTAATAATAACTATTTTCCAAAATTATATTCATGAATATTAGATAACAATGCTGATATGTTATGTTTTTTGTTTTTTTTGAAGTTTTTTTTCATTTGTGAAGGAGTATTTGATATTACATCCTTTTAGTTTATTCACTGTTTATTTTTTCTGTGTGAGTATTATATGATTATTATTGCATAGTATTTATTTTGTATTATAACCTATTCAAACAAGTTCTGAACTCAATTTGCAAATAGCTTAATGATGCAATATTTATTTTTTTACATGGGTTGTATTAAATATTCAAAAACCCATTTTTACATATTTCAGATTAAAAATTCAAAAAARGTTCATGTAAATAGCATCCCAAATTGTGAAAACTTCCCTATTTATCAAAATAAATGGCATAGTCTTATGGGTTCTGTTTACAACTTGAGCCTCTTTGATTCTTGAAATTTCCTTAAATTTAACATTAATTTCAGAATAAAGAAAAGGGAATATTTTATTAATATTCAAGAATGCTTAGCATTTGTTATGTGGTGATTATGTATTTACAGTCTCTCAGGCTTGTCATGAGCTAACACTATATTAATTCTTTCTCTAACCACAAGATAAAGACTCAATGAATAATTCTAGTCTTACAATGTAGTCAGCCATTTATATACATATAGCTTAAAAACGGACCATCTTGATGTTGGTCTTACTATGGAAATGGGATCAGATGTAGAAGAAAATCATGAAGAGGAAAGTGAAGCAAAGCTGTCAAAAAGAAAAACCTTCTTGAAGTCATTTTACAAATATCTACAGGTTTGAATCCTTTTTATCTTGGTTAGGAATTATTTGTAAATGACATATTTTGGTCTTGAGGTAAAGTGTACATTTTGAGCATTGTTTTTGTCAGCTATTTCTGTTTTATTTTCTTGAGTGTTAAATGAAACTCACTATTAATTCATATTCTTTCAGAGCTTCACTTCATCTTTTGTCAAAGTGGTTATCAGTTGACAGACTGAAATACCTTTTTTGAATGCAATTTTAGTGCAAATTATATGAATTATCTAATACATTTTTGTTGTGTWTTTCTTTTCTTGAAATAACCATCAAACCTTGGGAAAATATTTTGTTTCAGTACAACTTGAACAGCATTGCCACTGTCATGATATATCCTTTCATTTCTTTTCATATGAAAACCTAATCATAACAGCATAAATAACAATTCTCAGTGATATGAGACTAAAACAGATTGATTTTCTCAAATCGAGGAAGAATATTCACTTTGAATGTGTTCTGTTTGATTCAATGCCAAAAAGATTCACCAAAGAAAGTAGAATGTGTGCCTAAGTATTAAAAATATAGTTTTCCTAATATATTTATGAAAAAATATTTTTGTCAGTAATATTGTATGTTTTTTTGCTACAGACTTTTAGTTTTTTGTATTACTAAAAATGTAAATATCCAGCCAGGGAGATTGTGGCAAAATGAGTTTTCTATTAATAATTAATGTGGTTGATGCTTGGAGTTAAATATGGTCAATATGATAGCAAAATTTGAACCAATGTCACTTTTGAAGTAATTTGGTCATCAAAGATTTGAATCATGATAAGATGACAAAAGTACAATTTGTACACCAAGAAATTCCTTTTGTTTTTGGAGGTACAGGTATGAATTCTCTGAGCRAAATGGGCACCTGTTCCAAGTGATCTATAGTAATTGCCATGTCTTCTCCACTTCAGCATGAATTATATTCAATTMTACCTAAAAAATGAATGTTCAAATATGAGTTTATTGTTTGATAATATTTGATAATATTGTAGATTTAGCTCTTATTTGAAAAAAGGATCTCCAGTTAAAAGAAATATTTGGATTATTGTATGGTACAGGGTTTGCCWTGCAGTTTGACTTTGTCATTCTGTTTCATGTATATTAATTACATGTATCTCGTTCAAAGCAGAATATATAATGACTACTGCTTACAATGAAGCATGTGGCAGCATTAACTTATAACCACCTCTATGTAAAACTGGGAAACAGAATTTATAAATGTCTTTACTTTCATGGTATTTGTTTTGAAATTGTCTTAATGTTGACATTATGTTACTGTTGACAATACAGACTTTATAATTAGTTATCCAKTCTTAGTGTGTACGCAAGGTGATAATGACCTCTTCAGCCATTATGTTCTGGTATTAATAGCTTTTGAATATTGTGTTGAGATATAAATTATGGCCTGTGTTCTGTAGTGATTGGTAGCTTCTATGTTATAGTCACAATAAAATGTCTGGTTATTATAATTATTATAAAGAATTGTCCAAAGCATCAATTAATATGTTTTGAAAAATAAATAGAGATCTATCTTTTTCAAGGAGTTTTCAAGGACTTTTTTGAAATTTTCAAATTTTCAAGGAGTTTCAAGTGCCCTTGAAAACYAGTTTTCAATTCAAGCACTTTTCAAGGATTTAAGGACCTGCATGCACCCTGTAATTAGTTCTATGCTGATTTTTTTCCAACCAATTTTAAACTCTTTCAAGAGTAGTCAACACTCAACCCTGGTCCCAGAGACTCAATTTTAGAAGAAATTAACCCTCTTAAACAAGGATATCAACTCCTTTGTTAAATGTATTGTATATATTATTTAAACACAGTATAACCAGCATTGATTGCTTTCCTAGAAGCCAGCTCCCTCTAGAACAAAGCATTTAATTAGAAAACCAGTGAAGGGCCTTCCTTATGACGTCAATGCATTGTCTGATGGTGATCTTGCACGCCAGCTACGAAACTATGGACAAGTCGTTGGACCTATTACTGATACAACTAGACCATTATACCAAAAGAAACTTAGTAAGTAMATATATACTATTGATTAAACTTGTTTATTTAATATTAATTCGTTTGTTTGTAAGAGAATGTGGTTGTTTAGTTGATCTTTGAAATATTGGTAATAATTTGTTTCTTTATCTGTCTGTTGGTAATTTTAATGGGTTATTATAGGTAATGACTAGTTCTTTAGAACTTTTTTCTTCAGATAACCTTCCTTTTAGCAACTACTTGCTAATTGATGTAAATGTATTTTACCAATAAAGATAGAAGTTATAAATGTAATTCATGGTGCAAATTTGTATATTTCTTTATCYTATGCAGTTAAAATTCTTCAAGAAGAAATGAAAAATCCAGAAACCTTCCATGAACAACTGAAACCACCTCTTCAACAAGCAAAGCCTTGGGAATTTTCTGAAAATGAAGAAGATGAAGAAGAGGAGGAAGAGCCTGCAAAACCAGTGAGTGTATCAAGAAAACAGAAAAAGAAATCACAAGAAGAAGTGGTGATGATTGAAGGTGAGGACCACACGTGTACATGTTTCCTCTTTAAGAAGAACTAYACTTCAACAACCAACGACTGCAGCTTCCAACTACTCCAATGTGTGCATGAAAGTGCTAAACAATCTAAAATGACAATTATAAATGAATAAACTATGAGTGGTACTGACTGGCTGGTGATTTCCATCAAAACACCATGTAAAAATGGTAAAGAAGACAAATTTCTTACTGACCTTAAACATGACAAAAACTGTTCTTTTGCTGTTCATAACATGGGCACAAAATACTCCAAGCAAACAAAGGTTTTAGCTGAGTGAGACACTCAATTTCAATTTTTGGCGTGTTTCATTTTGTGCTATTGAGTAAGCCAATGCCAATGCTTTTTTTTTTGTTTGCCTGCATGTAATGTGCCTGATGTTCTGTACAAGTATGAGAACAAAAAGCAAAAGATTATGAACAATAAAAGTGGAATACTTTCCTAAAAATATCACATAAAGTCAGTTATAACACTGCACCAAATCTTCTTTGCAGAGCTCATTAAACCATAAAAAGTACTGAAAATGACAGTGAATCTATCATACGTCTGCATGTAATCACGACTGTAGGACTTCTAGTCACCTAAAGTCTTTGTAATGTAAATCATTTTATCATTCTGTATCAGCTTGTCTTAAATATCTTCAACAAGGAATGTCGACTAAACAAAGCCTGTTCTATAATAATTAAATATACATTTTAAAGAGTTATTGTTACAAAGTATTCTAATTTTATTATTTAAAAATTAAATTTTGATTTAAATACAATTTAAAGTTTGAAATTTTCTAATAAGTTTATATATTATTTGATTACATTATTATCATTATCAATTTTATTCTGAACTAGAGCAGGCTTTGACCACCTTAAAAATAACATTTTCACATTATGCCAGTCTGTCAAACATAGTGAGAAGGAATGAAATTGTTTTAAAAACTTTTAAACATTTCAATAAATCTACTGTATTTTAATCTGACGTATTCAGCACTYTTACTAGTTGTGTATTATCTGTCATGAATGCTCCAATAAACCCCGTTTTTATTTTTAAGTATCAGGCTCTCTTGGGGATTAAAGAGAAGCYGAAAGGAGGGAGCCTGTAATCTTACTGCGATAAAAATATGTGAATTCCAACAACTCCTTTGCACATGTKAAACAAACTCAAGCTTTAACTCCCTATTTAACTCCCCTCTGGYCRGGGTTGTTCAAAGCCCGATTAGCGCTAATCCTGGGTTAACTCTTAGAAAACCTATGGAGTTAACCCTGGATTAACTCCAATCGGGCTTTGAACAACCTGGCCATTGACATTCATCAACTGAAGAAACTTGAGTATTTCACGATGAGTTTTACTAGCAGTCTTGATTGACATAAGTAAATTTTCTTGGAGTTATTTTAGTCTTGTTTATTGGAGCATTTGTAGCCCTGACCAATAACTATTGATAAATGTATGCCATGTCTGTTATTAGACCATATAGATGCTGTCACTGAGGTCCCCAAAGATATGACCCCACCCAAGGAAAGCACCCCAAAAGTGGACAAGCGAGAGACTATTGTCTCAGAGTACTATSTCGAGACGCGTAAACGAGCAGTTGCTAACAACAAAAGTGTGGATTCGGCRATTAAATCTCAGAAACTTCCACCTCCTGTCAAACCATCTGCTGTAAAGCAAGTTGATGGTAGTTCATGGGAGTGGAAGGCTGTCCTTGTAGTTTTAGCATTAATTACAACCATTTTGCTAGTTTATTATTTCATGGAAGGTTCAGCAGACATACCACAATTGAAATCCAATGTGTAGTTTATACCTTTAACAAATACAATGTTCATTTTTTTGTATTTCATCGTCCATTGAAAATATTTCGATTTTGTGCATGTAGTAGTTTGTATGCATGCAAASCAAGGTTTTCATTATTATTCTAACATTTTGAATTGATATCAAAGTGCAAGAAACAAAAAGGTCAAATTTCAAATAAGCCGTACTAAGGCGAAAATAAACGATATTGAGGTAATACTACTTCAATCTCATTCCCTTCCTTGTGGGCTTCCTGTCTTATAGGATGAAGAGTAGGGACTGTACATTTTTATCAAAATAACAACKGGCATTCCCAGTCGGATTACAAAGGWTGAAAATAACGCTCGTTCTTAATAATCAKTACAAAGCCAAGACACTTTCTTTCAACTTGGTTGGTCATTAATATTCCTCTTCTAATATTTGATATTTGTAAAATATATATTTTCAATGCACTTAATAAAATATTTCAAACACACCTTATTTTTGCTTGAAATGTAAATAAAAAAAGACCGGCGATCAAAACGAATGCAAGCATAACGGAATACAATGTGTTAACGTTGATATTCTATTCGGCGCATTAAAAGCCAAACGATCGAAAATTATGGGAATTTTTGTTCACTTTTTGGTGGCTGCGTATGTGATCKTGGCTAAATGTATGTGACCGTTAAACTATCAGAATACGCAAATATACTGACGATAAAAACCATGTTGTCGCGTCCTAACTGGTAACGTTGTGATTGCAATCCCAACGCAGTTAAAAGCTGTGGTTTTTGATCTAAAGCTGCGCAATTTGTTGATCCTTGACAAAACAAGTGATCCCTTTACAGTGATCCCGATTCGAACATTGATCCCTACTCCCAAAAATGTGATCCTRAGTGCATGCGCATAAACCACCTTGAGAAGACCCAGTCTTTGTTGATCCAAAGTTCAATTACAGCGCAGTGACGGTAATTATTTGTCCTTGACTTCTTCGGCATAACTCCCAATTAACATAAGGAAAAAAATTAATTGAAAACACAGTAGGTCATATCTCCTCGTTAAAACCCGAACAAAATATACAGAGGTTGTTATAATAATGGCGGCCGCCGGTTTGAAATCTATTTTAGTCAAATATTGAGTTAGAATTCTTTTGGAATGAAAATAAACGCTGCGAAAACTCAAACAGCAACAACAAAAAACAAAAGAAACAAAAACTTACTACTGAAATTGTTCGCAATAGGCAGCCTAACAGGGATATTGTAAGCAGAAAAGACTTGTTAATTGTCACGCAATGTTTTTRCGTTAAAAATATTGTTTTGATGATTTTTCTCGGTTAAAAAACCTGTCAATAATAGCGCGTCATGTACGATAAATTTACCATTTAAAACTTTCATGCTACAAATCTAATCTAAAGCAAAGGAGAAATATTCGCTTTTTCAAAAATGTTACTACATATTAAYAGAAATCTTTTAATGATAACACAGAGAAAATAATTAGCACTCATAAGAGTAAGCCTTAAGATCTTTCCACTTCAATTAAAAAACAATATACCTTTCTTTCATTTCCTTTCTTAATCATTCCGTGGCTGCTGAATACACACTTAAAATCAACTCTGTAATTATTTGTTACGAGATAAATCCTGCAGCAATATCCCAACTATCAACACTTCAATAATGACTAAACACTATTGGCATCGTTATCCCCGTTAACCAATCCATGTATGACAGATATGTCAAGCAGTAAGGGTGAATATTGGGTCACTAGACGGGGTACTACCTTTATACTAGTCCCAGCAGTTTGTCACACGCATCCTCACTCGTAGGGTGGTCATCATGAGACTAAGWMTTGCTGTCGCTATCTTGGTTTCTCTTGTGTTCTGTTCGGTTGAGTCCACCAGCGGGATTGGTAAGTTCATCATAAGATCATGTTTAGCTTGTTTCGCGAAGAGTTWAAATTTATCAAAGTTAGGAGTCATTTTCGGTCCTCTCGTTCCAGTTTATAAAATCCGATCTAGCGCGCGCCTAAAAGAGAAGGTTGCTCAATTACGATTGATATTATTGCCAGTAAAAGATCAGAGTGATTTGAAAAGGTTTAGATAAAGAAAGATAGTCTCCAGTTCTATAAATTGAAATGACCTCTAGCATTACTGATATGTAGAATGCACGTTGTCTTGTCTGGCTTTCTACTAGCTTCTCATTGGTTAAAATACCAATCGAACTTAAGCATTCTAGCTCTCATCGAGTACTTTACAGGTAGGTATTGGACACCAGAACAGTATCGCTTCCACAAAGAAGTTATTTCCAAGTTTGTTTTTCCATTATGTCCGAAACAGTTTTTAAACTGCCTACTTGGGGAAACGGAAGTCTGAAGCGCTTTTTTTCGCGTCTGGTCATTCGTCATATTTGTTGAGTGCATTTCGTATTTGTGTGTGTCAAGTTGAGAAGTAGCAATATTTGGCTGCGAAAAGGTCAAGATATGAAGGGCTTATTCATTCTCCTGGATTTGATGACAATTGAGAATAATTACTTTGCTTTGTTCTAATGATCACTAATTGGCAAATAGGCAATCAGAGAGATAAAATAATGGCCAATATTGCCCTCACTTTGGTAATAATCACCTCTAAAACTAGCAATAATAACCATGGATATTTTACTGTGCTGACATTCWAAGCACGTAAAGCAAAGAAACTGAAGATTATCAGATAAACTTTAAGTCTGGGTTAATGCTGTTGAGAGCTTTGTGGTCTATAGTTTCAACCATGTCACGAGATTAAAACAACATGGCAAACATAATATATGCAGAACTCATCTTTAAAACACTTTTCCCCTTTTTCCTTCAAAGTATCATCGTTATATCTATCATACATGCTGTATTTTCGCATTGCATAAGTAAAGGACCTCATTGGACAGTTCCAGACTTCCACTCGGGGTAATGTATATAAGCACCATAGGTCAGGGTTAGTTCCGTTCAGTGCCAGACATTGTTTGCATTATTTTATTTAGTCGTCTTTCATCACGAGGTATGTAGTATCCATCTTTTAACAATCATAGTAAGGAATGTATGAATGTTATTTTGGAATGCAAACACTCCCTGATAACACCTGTATTTTAAAAATGATATCAAAAATATCCTTTGCTTTGATTGTCGTACGCATTGAATCATGAATTATCAAGTAAGAAAACAATTACGCGTCTTTATATTGGCACAATGTGGGATCGGCCCAGGATATTAAAGAGTATGGAAAAATGGAGTTGATGTCGATAACTGGACGACAGAGAAATAGAAAAGTGAGTGATATTAAGAGCAGAGGAAAATTTCAGGAAATCTTACTGAAGTTAGATTTAAGAAATGAGTAAAAAAGGAAAGTTGAAGAAAGCTGCTAACTGGCCTTCTCTTTCATCTGATAGTTTGTCAAGACCTCTTAGAGGAAAGTACATGCCGTGCCCAAATRCAACAGCCAAACCAATGTGAACAAGCGCCATGGAACTCGCAGTGCCGAAAAACATGRGGACGATGTGGTAACAATAGCAATGTTATCATCACTGATACATTAATCAATCATCATCATCACAATCATATTGTCATCATCATCATCAAACCAGACAATCATAATCATTAGCACAAGCATGGGGTTGTGGGTGACTACTTTGATTGCTTTTGACAACGCTTGCTGGTAATAAACATCCACGAATGATCATCATTCAAGTAACCTTCGGGTTGTGATTTTCTTGTCTCTCTGACCTGTATTGGCTTCTCTTTWCTGTTAACGTTCGCATTGTGGTCACCCCGATATTACTTACACGCAGTTCCGAAATAACCCCCTCTACAGCGGCCACTCGCTAAAGCGACCGATTTGTTACTGTCCCGAAGTTGTCCGTATTAACAAGAGTTGACATGTTGTCTTGTCAGATGAATGTTACGATGCTGAGAATATGATGACATGCGCAGACATCAAGAACAGAGGGGAATGCGATACTTCACAGGGAGCCCATGAATGCAGCGAAACATGCGGAGTCTGGGCCTGTAAAAATGTATGTTATAAAACGACTCATATGTTAGGAAATATCAGGAAATATCAGGAAATATCAGGAAATATCAGGAAATATCAGGAAATATCTATAATATCAATTATCCACATGCAGAAGCATCCATTTATGAAAATACACAACAATGATAAGGAATGAATTTCCACATATGGTAAAATGAAGTTTAGCTAATTCCATACAAGGAAGCACTTGTACTGATCTTCAGGAAATGTTTTCCACACGAGATATTGCAGTCCATATCTACATATAGTGTTATATCTGTGTATTTGTGCAATAGTGTTATATTTATAGTGAATAAGACTTGCTCACTCAACGTTTGAAGCAGATTGCACCTTTTACAAACAGTAGCAGAGATGTACCAACWCTTATCTTAAACTGTAACWCATTTTTGTTTCCTTTGCAGAMGGTAAGACGTGTATTCCACATGTCCTGACTGGATCACCATCCTTACATCACTTTTTATTTATGTAGTTATGGGATATTTGTAATATAGCAGAGAGTTTGAAATAAAAGACATTGCTGTTGCGCCTTTTCAGTGTTGTGTTCTTTCTGGCTTTCTTGGTTCTTGTGCTGCTTGAAACTTTTCTMGATCAATTTGCAGTACTTAATAATTGAACTTGAATTGTGAGAGGATTATTTTGATCTAGCCCTTAATAACTGCAATTGGTCTTAACTTTACTGCTTTCTTACTGATTCCTGCATCATGACCTGCAAGAATGAATCAAATCAATCAATCAATCAACCATTATTGATAAATCGATTTAAACCACCAGACATCTTAAAACAGAACCAATCAAAGAAACACTTACAAGTATTGACTACATTTGTTACATCTTTGTATGACTCTGGAGCCTTAAAACAAACATATTTTTCAAAAGTCACGGATAATTCTATATTTTGTAATGTTGTCAAGTATGAGAGAAAACCCACCTCTTCCATGACTAACTTAGGTGAGGCTACTCTAATTGATATTCCTTTTTGCTGTAAACTTGCAAGTACATCTTGGTAATCTAAGTTTCTCCTYAGAAGATACAGTGTAATAATTGTGAGGTAAAGTACTGTCTCATTTTRAGTGAAGTAAAACATATTTTAACATACCTTGATTTTGCTCTTGACAGAGCTCTACCCTAGAATTTGGCAGACYTTTTAAGTTATTGAGATATGKTCAATGCAAAGCTATGAGATGAGACATGAGGTTTCAGGGAATTGTGAATGCGTTATTTACTAAAGAACAAACATGTCTATAATTAACACACATTGTACTTACTGCACCGTGGCATGTAGAACCAAAGGTTTCTGTCATRCCTTTATCTGTACCTGTCAATACATAGCTATAAACAGACAACAATGTAAGTATTACTTTCATAAATGACAGCTGTCAATCACATTTAATACCCTAATATGGTAATACCTGCATGTTCCCATGGTTCCGCCAATTAAAACAGGTTGACCTGTTAACTATTAACACACACAAAAAAAAAACTTTTATTAGCCATAAATAATCACTAACAACAAAAAATCAGCTAGAATAAGCACTGAATTCATCTGTGACTTTTTGGATTGGCATGTTTTAGGCAGCGACAAAGTTTTTATTACTTATATAGCAATCAAACTAGACATGAACATACTGGATTATCTGGAAAATGTACACTGGTTTCATTAACAAACCTGATAGTCCACAGGAATGAGTGGATGGTGAGGTGGAAAGGCTCTTGTAGATCCTTTTCTATGTACAAGAAGTTGTCTTTGTTTACCTTCAATAAACTGAGTTCAAGTTAAGTTTAAAACTCTAAAACTATCTTTAAGTACTGTGTTTCATTGTATTATTTTCTATAGTCTTTTTTATAAGGATACATGCTCTTCTACTTTAGCTATATTGTGAGAGACGTCGTATATCACATGCATGTCCAGGTCATCTGGTGTACTGTTGAAGATTTTAGCAAACGCCTTCAACATAAACAAAACAAAAATTAAATTATGACCATAAGAGATCCATGAGGAAGGCTTACTGATTAGTTTTACTGACCTGTCTTGTTAGAAATGTCATGCTGGATCTATTGACCCAAGCAAAGTTAGCTGCTCCAGCCATTCCTTTCAGATAATCTTGACCTTCATTTGATATAATCTTAGCGCAAGCAAGCTACAATAGGATAAACATTGAATGTAATATTGATTGAAATGATTCCATTGATGATAATAAGGTTGATGATGGTGATGGATGTCAATCATGATGACAGTCTTAGCACAAGTAAGCTACAATAGATAAACATTGAATGTAATATTGATTGAAATGACTCCATTGATGATAATAAGGTTGATGATGGTGATAGATGTCAATCATGATAACAATCTTA